TTTTTCGACGCTTTTTTTAAGGCGATGTTCGACCTCCTGAGGCCGTCTCTTCTCAGTGGTGAGCCCCCGGACTCTCTCCATCTTCTCCGGGTTGTTTTACACCGTTTATCCGGTTGTTTTATCCCCTTTCCAGGTGCCCGCCGGTTCCTCCAGCGGCCGGAGGACTTTCCTAAGGCCCACCTGGCCCTCAGGGCGCTGTTTGGGGCGGCCAGCGGCACAGGTAGCTCACCGGCGACCCCTGGAGGTAGTCCGTGGGCCAGAATCTGTACGACGTCTCCTTAAGCAATTCCGTTTGAACTTTTAGGGGGCAACTTTCTTTCACTTGGATAAGTTGTTAGAGACTACAGTGATCTTAAAACGCCAATGTTCCCACCCTTTTACTTGCACATTAATAAGTTATAGTCGATTAAAAATATAATTTTTCGCCGTAATCTAAGAAATCGCGAGATCCGAGTTTTGCTTATCAGCCAATCAGATGGCTGAATCTCAGCGCGAGCGCTCTGTTATTTAAATATGGCAGCGCCCGTGAAATGTTTTTTGCACTTGTTTCAATACGAAAAACGTCCAATTATTTCATTTTCTGGTGCCAGTTGGCGGCGATATATTGAAAGTTGCAATTCCTGGATAGACCTGGATGGCAGGGAGAAAGAAATAGCCGAGACTTTCTCTCAGTACACAGTTGAGTCACCGAGACCTGCTGAGCTGGGAACCATAGGAAAAGCTACTCGAAGTACACGGACTAAACAAAAATTTGGAGAGCAAGTAAACGTGTTGTACGCGAGCAAACCCAAAGCAATCTTTACTGTGATCATGAAAGAAGCTGATACCAGACTTCTACTTCATGCAAAGCATGCTTATTTGGAATATAAAGATATTGTTATCTTGAGCCCAGACAGTGATGTCATGGTCTTGGCTTTAGGTTGTGTGCATTGTTTTGAGAGTACTATCTATTTTAAGACAGGGACTGGCAACAAAACTCGTATTGTTAATATTTCTCATCTAGCAAGTCTTCATGGTCCAAGGAAAGGTCTAGCTTTTGTTGGTCTTCATGCTTTTACTGGATGTGACATGTTAAGTGCCTTTAAAGGGAAAGGAAAAGTTAAAGCCTTAAGGCTGATGCTTGAATCAGAGCCAGCTGTTAATTGCTTTCAAATTCTTGGGAAAAACTGGGATGTTGATGATAAATTGTTCATTCAGCTTGAAGAATTTGTCTGTCACTTTTATGGACAGAAAAACTGGGATAATGATGCCAGGTTTAAAATGTTCTCTTCTCTGTAAATCAGATAAATCTTTTCCACCAAATGAGGATTGTCTTTGACAACATTCTAAGCCAGCTCCATACCAGCTAGCAATTTACAGAAGGTGTTAGGACCAGTTTATTAAAGCCCCTTACCCAGAAGGCCATGGCTGGTCCTTTGAAGATGGAGTGCTCTCCTATTGTTGGATGGTAAATCCCACAGCTCCATCTGATGTCACCATGGACATGTCTTGCAAGTGCAAGACAAATGCATGTGCTACACAAATCTGTCTATGCAAAAGGGGTCATTTGCCGTGTAGTGACCTGCCAATGTGTCAACTGTGCAAACTGTTCTGCTATGATTGAAAATGAGAATGATGTGGAAGGGATATACTCAAATGATAATGAGGACTTGGATGACTCAGATGATGAGTTATGATGTTTTTCATATATGTTGTAAGTTTTTGCTGAAAATATAAAAGATATAAATATGAGAGGTCTGGATTTAAATAATATGATGTAAATATGATAGTCGATGTTGATGTAGAAATAGTATGATGTCGCGACGAAAGGTTAAGATAGAAATAATATAACTGTAAATATGAGAGGTTCAGATTTTTATATTGGACATAAATATGGATCCTTAGTTTTTATTGACAGTGAAAATGATATATTATTCAATTTTTTATACCAAGGTTTACTTGATAGTGATAGTAGTTGTTTTTCTCTCATTAAGTTAATAAATGCAATATGATGGAAAGTGAAGTGTCAGTTTTTCAATAATTAAATTAGTAAGAAATTATTTGGACCAAAAACAAGGGTTTTGCATATTAAATTATTGTTTTTTGTCTTGCTATGGCTGTATAAAGTGGAAACTATGTAGTATTCAGGTTCAGGGGCCCTCTGGCAGCGAAAATAGAAACTAAAGGTCTAAATTGCATTTCCATGTTGATTCCATCAGTATTTACATAAAAAAAAACTTTTCTAATGATCAACCTTAATGATTTTAAAGTATTTTTGGTAAAGATCACTTGGTTAAAACCAAAAATATGGAGATTTTCTTAGTTTTAGCCACCTATAGGCCAGATGTGGAACTACCGAAATTTTAATTGGCCGTAATTAATTAATGTGCAAGTGAAAACGCGGGAACATTGGCTTTTTGAGATCACTGAAGTCCAAGGTATCTAACTAAACTGGAAGAAAGTTGCCCCCAAAAAGTTCAAACGGAAAGTCATCGTACAGATTCTGGCCCACAGACTAATAACCGTTTCACAGGTAGCTCTTCTTCTTCTTCTTCTTTTCTATTATGGCGGATCACAAGCAACTTTAAGGTGCATACCGCCACCTACTGTACATGAGTGTGTAGCAGCGTTACTTCACAACTATTAGATTCTATTTTTTAATTTTGTATTCTTAAGGTAGATAACCAATGCTTTCCTTAGTTTATGAATATCTGTTATGTTTCCTTCATTTCCTAATATACCTTTAA